AAGGCCGCTTGGGGATTTGGTCGAGAAGCAAATGTGGCAAGAGCATTCCTCTGCACGGCTTGGGGTGCTGGGGAGAGGGTGCCACCTTCCAAGATCATGATTAAAAGAGCCAGGAGAAATGGGACAAGTGCCATTTCATTGGGAAAAATACCTCAATAATCAGTTTTAAAATGCTGCAGTAAAATATACAGTCTATTTTCTGGAGGAAAAAAAAAACCAAACCCGTATGTATTTCTTGAATATACGTTTCTTTATAATGTGGGTAGCTTTTGCCATTTTACTTTTCTTCCAAAAGTCGTGTCATGATCTAAGAATATCTCTCTTCAAAGTAAATGGGCTGCCTCTAGGAATTACCCAGCTGTGGGCTGCAGTGCAGTTCTGCTAATAGCGATCTACATGGGAAGAGTTTCCTGCGGGAGAAGCTGGGATGCTCGGTCCATCTGCTTTGCCTTGGCTGAAGTGATTCCCGAACTCTGAGAGAAGGCCAGACCTGTGCTACCAGCAAACCAAGCATCCAGCTAAGTGTGATTTAAAGATACCTCTCCTGGTCGGGCCTTGCTGTGAGAAGATGATCAGCTTCCATTTTATGACATGCAGTCGTGATTTGAAAACATTAAGAGATGACAACAAGCTACTTCTTCATGTGTGGGTTTTTTTTTTTTTTTTCCCCAAGTTCACTACTTTGTCTGCTGAAACTTGGGGTTTATTTCTAATATGAAGGCTTCAGCTTCCAAGTGGTGGATCTAGCTACCTGTCTGCTAGTTCTTTTCTCTCCTTTAATTTTACTACACTGTAAACTGATTTGCATCTTGATCTATCTTCTTCCTGATCAACAAAATAAGCTGCATCCTTTCCATCTCCCACACTCCCTAAGGCTCAAATTTTTTAAGTGTTTTCCAGAGCTGGAGCCATTCTTTCCCATTTCTGAAGATGCTTTGCAAAAGGGATACCAGGACAGCACCAAACATTGCCGTGTCTATCTCACTAATGCTAAGATCACCTCTCTCTTTGTGATTACAACTTTCCATTTCTGTATCTAAGGTTCTTGTTAGCCCTTTTTGGAAACACCTGTCCCATCACTTATTCCCTCTGATCCATAAATCCTTCCCCAAGCCACTGCTTTCCATGTTCTGGTCACCCCCACAGCGTGGGAAACCACGGGAGGCCTGAGGCATACGGCACCCACCGCCTGTGAGGACCAGCGTGCCTGTGGCAGACTGGTCGGAATGGTTAATTCATCGGCCTCCATGATTGCTTGGTCAGGTAGAAATGACTGGTTTGAAAATACATGAAGTTTATTTCTCCTATCTCTCTGCAAAGGCAGGAGTTTAAAAAGGAGTATTAATCAGATAAGTAAGCTACAGGATTGCTGCTGACCTTTACAGAGGTGAGGAGGGCCATGGGGTACCCAGCGGGAGCCCAGGCAGGAGGAGGATGCCACAAGGCTGCTTACCAGTGGTACCAGTGACAGCCGAACGGGCAAGCTGCTCCGTAACACCGAGAGATGCTCCAGGGTTCACAAGACAGGGAGATCTGGGCAGAAGGATCTAACAAGTCAAAAGATGCTCCAGGAAAGACGTGAGGGTAAGGTTTATTATTTTGGTTGGTTTGACCCCCTCATGTTGTTCAAATAAAGAATTTTTTTTTTTTATGATCCAACTCAAATTCACTATGAACACACATTTTATCCTGAAGAGTTCAGAGGTAAATTCATGTTGTGTCTTTGAAGCAACTCAAGCACTTCATTGTTCTTCTAAACACCAAGACTTGGAATTCAGGTCTAATGTCGAATTTGGCTCTGGGGTAGCTCTTGCACTCACTCTCACTTTCTTCTACTCCTATACGTGAACAGGAAAAGTAATTCCTGATTGCAGTATGAATCTCTCAGATGGATGGATGAATGACAATGCAAACATTAATTTTGCTACTGAAGGATCCATAGCCAGCATACAGGAAAACTACCATTAATAAAAACAACCCCTTTCGCTGAAAAGCAAGTGTGTCTAAATAGTTTAATCTTTACATATCTGCACTTTTAATGAAGTTATCAAACTATTACCAACCAGTGGGAAAAGGAGGTGTCATGAAAAGCGCCTGTGGTCCATCAGAGTATTTTTTAAAATCCTTTTTTCCTCCCACCTTTTTTTGACACTGTTGAAAGCGCGGGTAGAGGTAGCTAGCAGGAGTTCTTGTGATCTGAAACGTGAGATCTTTCTGAAGGCAAAGTCTGGGGTCTCTTCACACAGGAAGGATCCCCACTGCACTGGGAAGGAATGGGACATGGAGCTTACCATTAATTCTTAGACACCTCCTAAACTAGTACCTGCCTGTAACTCTTGCTGCACGTTTAGCATGAATCATTACGAGTCAAACATGAATCTATAGACTACCCTCATCACCCGCAAAGCAGAGCGCTGCTACCAAGGCCGTGTTACGATGGGAGGTGAAGCCTTCTGCATCTGTCACCAGTTTCATTTGGTCCTGCACAAGTTGTCACCTGACCACTGTTAGGAAATAAACTGGTGGCTTTGTCCAGGGTGCTACTAAAATATGGCTCCATCTCAGAAAAAACATTTTTACACCTAGTACCTCACACAGGAGGTCTTCCCAATTTATGGGGGATTCATGCAGAAACAGCTCACAAAACTTCAGCTGTGAAAATGAAGCTCATGCTGCTGTATTCTAGGTTGGAAATTTCCTTTGGAGAGAGGAAATCACCTTTTGGGCTGTTCCTTGTCACGACTGTCATATCAACAGGAAATTAAAATATTTGCGCTTGAAAAGGGGTATTATTTCATACTGTTAGTGTAGGCCGAGGCCATACTTCTTCCCATTCCTTCTGAAAGAGGCAGCAAGGGGATGCTGCTAACACCCCTTGCTGTTTCAAACAGCTCAGCGGGTAGCATTATACAGCCCATCTGACAGTATTAGATAAAAGTTCAAAGCAACCTTGGGAAGTATAAGTGGGAGAAGCTATGCCTTTCCAGAAGTCTGGAATCTAACATCAGCATTAAGACCCCTACCAACAGGCTTAAAGGGGTCTTCAGGAGCATTAACTTCAGTGTGGTTTCACAGAAGGATGCTTATCAAAAAAGAATCAGTCTATTAATGTCCCCATAGGAGAAGATCTATCCAGGGAGCAAAACACAAATTTTATGAGCTGCTGTAGTTATTTGGTTAAGGAGAAGTGACTGGAAATTGTGAAACTAGTGGCTAAGAGAATTGGTTATCTGGTATGGATGTGGTATTCGGGAAAGCTTGGGTTGCTCATTTCAAGAGGCATGGGTCACCCGCAGGTCCCAGCTGGAGCTGTGGATACTCATCGCCTTGAAAAGTCAATCCACTTCTTGACACCTTCTCCTCCGAGAGTGCCTGCAGCGGCCCCTGCCCCAAGATAGACCCACAACCTCCTGTGCTTTCAGGGCTGTTAAAAACCCACCTGGGCTTTGAAGAGCAAAGGGAGGTGGCACACCTGACCCAAGTATTGCGGTTTAACCTGGCAGGCGGCTGAACCCCCCCCCGCCAATAATGGTAATAGAATATACAGAATATACAAAACAAGCGATGCACAATGCAACTGCTCCCCATCTGCTGACCGATGTCCAGCCCATCCCGAGCAGTGATCACTCTCCACCCCTGACTGACTCCCCCCGAGCAAGACATCATATGGTCTGGAATAGCCCTGGGGCCAGTTGGGGTCAGCCAGCTGTCCTGGCTGTGCCCCCTCCCAGCTTCTTGTGCCCCTGGCAGAGCAGGGGAAGCTGAAAAAGTCCTTGACTGGTGTAAGCCCTGCTTAGCAACAACTAAACCATCAGTGTGTTACCAACATTCTTCTCATGCTAAATCCAAACCACAGCACTGTGCCAGCTACTAGGAAGAAAATTAACTCTATCCCAGCCAAAACCAGGACACCAAGTCAGGCCAGGAACCAGCAGCTCCATGCAGCTGCTGAAGCTTTCCCACTCTGTCCTCCCCCACCCCAATGCCAAGCCAGGAATAATCTCTGCCCCGTGCTACCTCTGCCAGCTCCTTTCTGGGTAACCATGAACATGCTGGGTCGGGCTCGGCGCTGGCCTGCCTTCCTTCTTTCCAGCTGGGATGCTCTGTGCAGCTCTCCACCGCCGTGGCCTCCTCAGGCTTGCAGGACTCTCTCTTCCAGCACACCAAGGCAAGTAGAAGGCAATTCAGCCTCAGTGAGTGCTTGGCTGCTTCACCTCAGCTTTGCAGAGAGTACGGGGGAGCAGGGGGAGAGGCAGCAGAGTTGCTGCAAAGTGGAAGCTTTAATTCTCCTGGAGGTTTATCATCATAGTGTTAGTGGAGCTCAACGCAATGTACATTAACACAGGTGTATTCCACAGGCTGTCACAAGCTGCAGGTTATTATTTTTTTTT